GATTCAAATCAAATCAAATATTTGAATACTTGATTTGAATTTGATCGAATCGAATCAAACATTAATTTGGATTTGATTAAATAAATCATTCTTTGATTTGAATTTGATCGAATCAAATCAAATTGCAAAATCCTAATATATATTATTTTTAATAAAATTTGATTACGTAAAAAATTTTTTATTTTATTTTTTATTTTATATTTATATTTATATCACATGAAATAATGCAAACATATTTTAAAATTATTTGCATATACTGAACTAAGAACATGCTGATAATATGCTGAAGTTGCTTCACTGATTCGCTTAACTTTTGAATTTTAATGATATCTTCTTGACGATCTTTTTCTTGAAGTATATACCATTCTTTTTTAAGCTGTCAATATAATCTTTGAAGATGATTTAATCTATTTTCTTGATGATTTGAAAGAAAAGAAAATTCAGTTAATTCTTGCTTTAAATGATCACATTTAAAAAAAAGCTCAGCAGTTTGATTTAAAGAAAAAGAAAGTTGTTCTCTTAATGATAAATTTTCCCGACAAGAATCTACAATCTGAATAGAAAAATGACTAAATATTAAAAATGTGAAGTTGAACATCTTATTACGACCAATGTATACCAATTTATTAAAAGGTTAGCTTGATGATTCCAACAATATTCCGAAAGGTTGCATATCAACAGAGGCTATGATAACCAGTTCTAAACAAGTAAAGACTTATATTACGAGAACCTATAATATGATATAAGAAAAGAAGCAAAAGTATTAATATACTGCAGTCAAACTAAGTAAGTCAAACATACTGTCATACTCCTTCAGAAAACAAATGGGTTGCATATTCCGTCAAGCTCAGGCAAAGCCTATGCTGAGATGCATTCTATATATCCAGTCACCCAGTCTAGAATCATTCTTAAGCTACTCATCTCACCTTCAAAAATTCTTTCATTATTACGTTCTCCTTGACTAATTAAAGCTCTACAACGAGTGGAGGGAGATTTCTTGTTGTTTACTCTAACCATAATAAATATGCTGAAAAGAAAATAATGAGATAAATATCTACATTAATATATCGCTTATATTGACTCCATTCAATCTCTAGTTTTTCAGTCCTCAGAAAATATCAGATGTGTGGCGTCCCCTCAATACTTTAATAAACTTAAAACATCACAGTAACTTTAAACATTATTCATTAAATCTTCAATGGGTAAAATGTATTTCATTAAAGAGAAACAAAAACTTACAAAAGGGAAATAGCAATAATTTTGGTAGTGGAAAATTTTTCTTTAAGAAAAAGAAATTTGAAAAGGGATTTTTATATTCAAATAAATAGCATGAGAAAATTTTAAATGATATGGCAAAAAAAAATGAGTATTAATAATACCATTAACAAACATTTTATAAAATTTAGAACTTACAAATTTCTCGAAACTATTTGCACACAGTCAAAGATGTCTTTGTCTTCGTTTGTTAATAATGTATTCCCTTTTGCCCAATTGTTACGCCACATTGTATTGAGTGATTGTTCGTCATTCAAAAGCTAGAAAACACAAATAAACAAATTAATGTGTTTGCTGGTTGCTTATAATAATATCAAAGAAGATATTTACCCTGCTGTATTCGATTATTACTAAGTCAGCAACAGTCGGCAACTTCTTCGGAATTAATGATGTTGGACGAGCTTCATTCCATGTCTTTTCGAAACATTCAACATATTCTGGTTTAAGTTCATTGTAATACATAATCGATGATAGACACCTGAAGTATATACAAAGTTAAATATTATAGCCAAAGTTCTGTAATTTTGCATAAAAAATACTTACAATATCGTGTTAATTTCTTTCGCATATGATAAAGTCGGATTAATTTCCAATTTTTTGATTGATTCTGCTTGAAACTTAGAAAGTCGATAGAGATGTTGTATCCATCCTGTGTTAATCACTATATAAAAGAGAAAGGAATTAGAATATACCAGGATAAAATATCACAAAACGATATTTCTCGATGCTTACGTCTTTTTCAGAGACATTATTTATAGCAACATTACCAATTGCGTGGCTCCATGACAAGACGAACTTGAACAAAATTTAATCAAAGTCAAAAGTTGTGGCAATTATTTTTGAAAGATTATGTTATTAACGATTAACACTAACCTTATATTTCGTTGACTCTTCTCCTGTCTGTCTATAAAAGGATTATTGTCGCCCTCACGTGCAATCCCTGCATCAGATTCATAGCGGTCATTCGACTTTAAAGAGCAATGCAGGTTAGAAACGAACTTATACACATCATACAACAAACAAAACGAAAAAAACATTACTGGTGATGCCTCAGTTGATCCATCAGTTTGTTCTTCGTTGTCAAGATACTTCCTCAACTGAACCCAATGGTACACCTTCTACGCTTCGTTCTGGTGGTTCTCCAATAGTAGTTTTGATCTATACATCCAAAGGTTTATTTTTGTATATACAACAAATTTAGGAAGAACCTTTAATCTCGAACTCACCTTTTTGATGGAGTCATAATTTCTTTAGTATTTGATATTTCCTCTTCATTACTCGAATCTCGATGATGCTTCATGCAACGGTGTCGCGCCACTTCCAGTTGCAAGTTGATTTACTTGCAAATGCCCAATATTCACAAATGCATTATCCGAAACTTTTTCTAAACTCTTTGATGCAACCCAATTCTTATAAAAATATAATAAGAAATTATTACTTGCAAGAAATACCACATTGATACTTTAAACAGCTTGCACTAAGCGTCGAACACTGTAGACCAGCAGTCCAGCTTGCGCTAAGCGTCGAACCCGGCCTCCTAATCCGTTCAAAACTTCTATTAACATACATACTTTCCAATCGTCAGGATTTCTCGAGCTTTTCTTTTTCTCATTGTGTCGAATGAAGTAGATTCTTTCACTTCCTGAAGGGTCTTTTTTTTACTCCGTTAAGTATTTTTTTTCTCTCACTTTGCCCTGCTTTCGAACGATAATAATTTATTATGTTGTCGCACGTCCAGCCGTAACGTGGTAATAAGCCATGATGATTTACTCATTTTAGTCATGCGAAAAAATTTCTAGAGTGAAACGCCTAAGCCACAAATCTACGACGATTGTGCGCAGTCTGTTTGTAGGAATCACGTTACATTGCCGGTTCCATAGTCACATCACTATGTTTCGTTTTGGAAAGGATTGATCAACAAGAGCGATAATTTTTCTATCCTTAGCAGAAATAATATCCTCCAGATGCCGGCAATTATTCTCTAACATGTCAATGGACTTTTCAGCCTTTTCTACCTCATGAGACTTATACTCAGGGTTGGGAATTTTGTATGTACCAGATAAAATTAATACTTGTACTTGTACTGTACTTGTACTAATTTTTATATTAATTATTGTGGTGTACTAACTGTACTAATTGTACTATAAATCTTTTTTTCCAATACCTGCTTTGATATATGCAACTCCTCATTTTCTTGCCTTAACATAGTTCCACATTAAGCTTCATCCTCTGATGCTCTTTTTTCTTAATATAATTTTTAACAGCTTGATTTAGCAAATCTTCCACTTCGGGATGGATACTACTTACCTGTTCTAGTGATAACAGGTATTTTCAGAATATAAGACGTTGCCATATATCTATTTTGATGGAAAAGATGGTATTAGCATATTAATCATTTTATAAACAGTAGAAAAAATCTGAGAATTCTTAAATTTTGAGTAACCGGAAAGGGAAATTCAAAGAATTTTAGAGAAGAAAAAATCATGTGATTTTGATTAGGACCCCTAGCTGAAATTTGTTATGAAAAAAATGATAGATTATAGATATAGAGTTTACCAAATTTTTAGAACAGATTGCCAAGAAAAAAACATATATATTTATGAAATCAATCACTAAGGTCATTTATTGATAAAGTAAAAAATATTATGTGATAAAAAACTTTTACTATTGGTAATGATTAAAGCTCTGCATAAGCCGAGCTGGCTCGCGAGCCTCATGAGCTAGCTCGCGAAAGCTCAGCTCGAACCGCTATAAAACAGCTTGCGAGCCAATCAAGCCGACTCATGCCGTGGTTCAGCTCGTAGCGCGGCTCGACTCGTCAGCTTGGATTTTTCATTTTTGAAAAAAACAATCCAGGAATATTAACTTCGAAGAAAAATGCTTTCGGCAACGATTTCTTCAAAGTTAATGATTCCGGAAACGATTCTTCGAAGTTAAACGATTCCAACAACGATTTCTTTGAAAAAAAAATGATTCGGTAACGTTTTCTTCAAAGAATAATAACGCTTTAGAGCGTTATTTTTAATTTATAATGCTTTCAGAGTGTTATTTTTAAATTATAACGCTTCCAGAGCGTTTCTTTTAAATAAAAATGCTTCTGGAGCGTTAAATTTAAAAAAATAACGCTTTCAGAGCGTTACATTTAATAAAAATGCTTCTGGAGCGTTAATTTTAAATTATAATGCTTTCGAAGCGTTAATTTTAAATTATAATGTTTTTGAAGCGTTAATTTTAAATTATAACGCTTCTGGAGCGTATTTTTGAAGGAATAGCCTCTGTGGCTTTTCCATTGAAATGAAACGTTTCCAGAGGCATTTCCTTGAAGGGAATCGTTCTCAGAGGCTTCTTAAAGAAAAAATGTTCCTGGAGCGAAATTGTTAAAGAAAAACGCTCTGGAGTATAATTCTAAAAGAAAAACGCTCCAGAGCGAAATTCTTAAAGAAAAACACTCCGAAGTGTAATTCTAAAAGAAAAACGCTCCGGAGCGTAATTCTAAAAGAAAAATGCTCCTGCAGTAAAATTCTTAAAGAAAAACGCTCCAGAGCATAATTCTAAAAGAAAAACGCTTTTGGAGCGAAATTCTTAAAGAAAAAACGCTCCAGGAGCGTAATTCTTAAAGAACAACATTCTGGAAGCGAAATTCTTAAAGAAAAGCGCTCTGAAAGTGAATTTTTTATAGAACGACGCTCCTGGAGTGAAATTCTTAAAGAATAACGCTCCAGAAGCAAATTTCTTAAAGATAGATGCTCTGGGAGCGTAATTTTTAAATAAAAACGTTCTGGAAGCGTTTTCGCTTCAAGAGAATTGATTTGGAGACGTTTCTCTTGAAGAAAACTATTTCGAAGATGATTCTCTTGAAGGAAATCACTTTCCAGAACTTTTCAATTACTCCGAAAATTTTTTTCAGATTTTTGTTAATAATTTAAGCCATATGAGCCGGCTTGTTTGGCTCGCAATCCTGCTTAGCTTGCCACATTTTTGACTCGAGCTGAGCCGGCTTGTGAGCCAAAATAATTTGGCTCAGCTCAAGCCGATGGTGAGCCGGCTCGAGCCGGCTCATGCAGAGCTTTAGTAATGATCAAGAATTGAAATTTGTCAAGAAAAGTTCGCAAACATGAGATTAGGTAAAAATATTAACTCTGATCAAGAATTTTATGTGATATCCTGACCATTAGTCATAGTGCTTCAAGATTAGTTTCAGTTTTTAGTTTTAGATCATTATAGCCGAAGATTAGTCTGAAATATTTTTTTAAATAATTGTTTACTAATCTAGATCGGTTTACACATCTAGACCGGTTTATTAGAATTTAACTCAACTTATTGCTATATTGATCTTGCATTTATACTGCATTAGTATAACATCAGATTTTAACTTAATTCTTTCCAAAAAAATGGAGCATACAATTAATAAAAAGTGTAAAAGAGAAAACTCATGCATTATTTGGGATCATTTTTTTGAAGAATATGATGATGAAAAGAAATAATTATATATTATTTGTCAAGTATGTAAAAATAAAGATATAATTAAGCATTATAAATGAATAAGGGATGCTTTAACATCTACTACTCAGAGACATCTTTTGCGAGACTATAGAATTAATAAATATTATCAAAAGAGCCAGAAATTACAGATAGTAATATTAGGATTAATGATTTGTATGATATTAGTTTTGCCTAATTTGATCTATAAAGTGTTTTCAAATTAAGATTTCAAATAGTTTTCAGATATATAAAACGAAATTGAAGTTTATTAAATGAAAATTTTCAGATTTAAGAAAATAGTTTCACCTGAAATGCTAATTAAAACTATCATAAAACATATTACTATAAATTATCAATTAATTTTAGAATAATCGTTTATTAGCTTTATAATTCTAAATTATCAGCTATTAAATATCCTTTAAAATGATACATTTCAGAATATACTTCACAAATTTGAACCAGGTTTTCAAATATTAACTAATACAAAATAGTTATAATTGGACAGAAGAAAATCTTAAAAAATTATTAAAATCAAACGTAATTACTAATAATATAATAAATCTTTGAACTTTCCATTGAAATAATAGTTATGTTAGTGTAACAATCTCATGGTTAGACCAAAAATTAAAATTACACAAAGTATTAATTGGCATAGAATTATTACCTAATCCTCATACTTCTAAAATATCAAAAACTGTTTGAAAAATATTCTTGAAAAATAGAATCTAAAAGAAAAGTGTTTTGCAGCTACAACAGATAATTTTCCAAATATCAAAAAAGCAATCATTCTAATAAATAAAGTAATAAACATAGGTTATATAACACATTACATCTTAGCGTTACAAAGGTCTAAGTCGAATTAAACAATTTATAAAAAGAGTTAATAACCTAATTCTTTTTTTTGCTTTTAGTTCAAAGCAAAATAATCAATTAAAGAAGACACAAAAAGACTGAGGATTTTTAAAAATATTTCAAATACTTCAAGATGTACAGTCAACACTTTCTACAACAAATTTTGATATAACGAATTTTACAATACAACGGATTTTCAGTGTCAGACAGATTTTTAAATATAAAACCCCTTTTTTTTTATGATGTGGCACTGCCAGTAACTTTATTATTTTATAAAAGAAATACAAAAAGTAAAACTAAATACAAAGAAAAGAAAAAGTACTAGTTATCCCTCGTGATTATATTATAAACCCGTTTGAATCGACCAATCATCGTCTTTTTCCTCTAACAGACCCACTAAATTTATATCTAATGACTACTGTTATCACTAAGAAAAGAAAAAGAAAAGAGTCAGTGCCTATCTAAAAATCCGAAAATAAGTTACCATATTTATTTGTCAAGTGAATCCATGTTTCCCAAGCACTAGGTACATGATCATTAGTTGAGTGAACAAGCGTTGAGACCGCATCTTTCTTAAATTTGTCCTTTTTATTAATTCCTAGAGATCATTCTTTGTCAATCACAAGTTGACAGCGAGGTTTCCATATTTTCTCAAAGAGTTCATTGAGAAAGAAAGTGGTAAGTTGGGTGATAATTGAGAAGCACTTTGATTTGTTCTGAGTAATTGAGTGTATCAAGTTAATTAAGGAGGATGGGATATGAAGTGGAATAATATTTATATAACCATCATTGCTAGAAGAAAGTAAAGCAAAGATGCGGTCAAAAAGATCCAAAAGTTCTGGAAGAGAAGAGGACTCAATGAAATTAGGATAATCTTTGAGCAGGGTGACAATGTGAGATTTAGTGAGTGAAATAATATCTGTCATTGTAATAGAGCGAGCGGAACAAGTCCAAAGATGTGTATGGATTTCTGACATAACGTTACATTCAAGGCAATTCCAATTTTTGTAGAGATCAGGACGTAGCTGCTCCATTCTATATAGTACAGGCAGTTCATCCACAAAATTCTTAATCATAAAGGTCTTAAGTCAAGTGTCAGCGAAAGATGTGATCCAGGATGATGAGTCCAAAGTTAGGATGTTCCAAATAGCATGCCAGTTGATGTCATTGGAGCTAGTAAGGAATCTAAGATCCCTATTTCTGTGTAAAGACAGAAAGTTGCCAAAGTGTTGAGTATTGAAAAGGTTTTTAAAAAACTTTCAGATTGATGATTCAATTGTGACACTTTGGAAGCTTATAGCAAGATTTCTAGATCCAATCCCAGTTAATTCAGATTGAATAGGAGGAAGAGAGTGATCATGTTTAGTAAGAGAATCAGCTATATTATTGAAGGTGTTACCATCATGAGCTTTGACTTTGTGTAAGG